TCCACCTCAACACCACACACACACAGACGGACACCTGTCTCTTATACACATCTAGATGTGTATAAGAGACAGTACATACACACCTTCATCGCTGTTGTTTCCAACATTCGTTGCTTCTTGACAAACATACTGTAAATCAAACACGATGCGCGCGAATCCATCTCATCATCATCTTCTTCTTTCGCATCATACACACCTTGGTTGCGTCTTCAATCCTCTTCAGCTGCTCCCAATTACAGTGTACCAGGATCTTCGAGATTAGCTCAATGTCCAAATCTGCCAAGTCCGATATCACGTCCAGGTTATCAATGACCTTCATCAAGCAGAGCTCGGTCAACGATTTGACTTTCGATTGACTTGTTGGACTCCGCGTCTTCGTCGGCTTCGTCTTCGACGTGCCTCCTTCTTCTTCCTCATCATCATCTCCTTCACTACCACCACCACCTCCTCCTCCTCCTCTTCTCGCCATAACGTCCGCTTTCCGTATCACGATCACCATCTTCTTCTGTTTCTGCTTCTTGTTGTTAATTTTCGTTGACGTCATCACCGTCGGTGCCGCCGCCTTCGTCTTCGTCGTCGGCGCAATCGCCGACGTTCCCGCGCGCCGTTGCTGCTGCTGCTGCTGCTGCTGCTGCTGCTGCTGCTGCTGCTCTTTCGTTGACGTCATCGTTGCCGGGGGGGCTGCCCCGTTAACACCGACGCTCGACGAGGCAGGCTTACCCTTTTTGACAGCCCCCCCGCCATCGCTGCTGCCACTGACGACACGTGGAGACGCCAGCGATGGCGATGGCGATGGCGATAGCGATAGTGAGGACTTGGCTGTTAGTTTGCCGTTTCCTTCCGCCGCCGCATGGTTGGCTGCCGTCGGAGATGGCGCCGGCATCGCCGGCTTCTTCTTCGTCGGTATCATCGCTGAAGACGTCGAGTTGTTGGCGATGGCTGACGTTGTGGCCTTCTTCGCCATAGCCAGTTTCTTCTCCTCCGATGTCGTCGTCGTCGTCGTCGTCGTCGTCTTGCTCGCGCCCATGTCCATCTTCTGTTTCACCTTTCCCGCCATTCCGTCCTTATTAGCCATAACCGCCGCCTCCTTGCGCTCTTCCTCTGCGTCAGCACCTCTCTCTTTCCTCTTCTGGACAAAAATCCCTTTGTTCACCGTTCCCGCCATTCCATCTTTGATACCAATACTACTACTACTACTACAGCCGTGTCCATTCCCGCCTTTTCCCTTAGTGCTCTCTCCCACTCCACTCGATCTCCTATCCTCACCTTTCCCGCCTTTATCCTTCGCTCCCTCTCCATTGGTGCTCGCCGCCATCGCCATCCTTACTCCTCCCCCTTGCTTGCCGTCCAGTCGTTCCGCATCCTTTCCTTCTTTCATCAACCTTCCTCCTCCTCCTCCTCCTCCTCCTCCTCCTCCTCGGACGATCATTCCTCCGTGGGCTGCTCTGCCCTCCTGATGACCGCCGCCATAGCTTTTCTTCTGCGAGATTTGCTCCCTTCCTTCTTCCTTCTTCTTTGTCAGAGGCGTCTTCGCTCTCAACCCTTCCGGCTCCTCACTCTGTGTTCTCCCAACCTTCTCCTCCTCATCAGCTTTCATTACCACCTCTCTTATCCCCCCCCCCCYCCCCCCCCTTTCCCTCCACTCCTTCACTTGCTACTATTCTCTCTTCTCCCACCTCCTCCTCTCTTATCTCTCCCCCCCTCCCCCCTCCACTCCTTCACTCGTTACTATTCTTCTCTTATCCGCCCTGCTCCTCTTCCTCCTCCTCCTCCTCCTCCTCTACTACTCTTCCTCTTCTACACTTCTCCTGCCTCCTCTTCCTCCTCCTCTTCCTCTTCTACCCTCCTCTTCCTGCTCCTGCTCAAACTACAACTACTAGACTGCTACTTCCGGGTTATTGTTTGAATATATACATATATATATGCATATATATATACACACACATATACATATATATGCAATCACGGAGTTCAGAATGAAGGTTCTGGAAATTGCCGAACGATTGCCGAAGATCGACGGTGAGTAAATGTACTTGACCGCAATTACGTCCAGATAGCAGCTGAAAATGCAGGGTGTAGAACGACAGCGGAAACGATCATGATGATGAGGAGGAGGAGGAGGAGGAGGAGAAGAAAGGAAGATTGATTAACACTCGGACATCGACGCAGAGGAGAGGAGGAAATTTCGTTTCTGTTTTCCCCACGAAAAAGAAAGAAAAAGAATAATGAGGATCAATTGTTGGCCAATTCTGCGACCAAATTACCAAAAAAAAAAAAAAAAAAATCGACAAGACCCCGCGTCATCTGGGGAAATTCCACACGGACGGGGTCACGAAGGGATTTTAAGAAAATGAAAAATAAAAATAAAAGATCATCCTCCACCACCGATTTTGCTGATAAAGCTGAAAAGAGACACACCGAGCGAGCGAGCCAGCGAGAGAGAGAGAGAGAACAGAGAGAGAGAACAGAGAAAGAGAGAGAGAGCGTCGGTTATGTACACTGAAGGTTCCGCAGTGGCTGCAATCTCTGCCACGTGTGCCTTCTTAATCGGTTCTGCATTTTTTTATGAATATCATGATCTTGATGAATAAAGACAAGTCCAAGAGGAGCACAGACCGGCAGCGCACTCGAGAGAGGAGGAGGGAAGCAAGCGCACGGAGAGATTCAATGATATCATTAATATCACGCCCATCTTTCAGACATTGCCCCGAGGAGTGGTGCCGCGCGCGGGATCACAAAAAGCAATCCGTAAATCAGACCGAAATTTTGTGAAAACTGAAAATGCAAAAGAGAACCAAAAGAAACAAAAAAAAACGCATCGACACTCCGGGGCGTGAGCGCCCGCGTAAGACAGGCGGAGAGATGGCGGGGCCGGGGCGCAAGCGGGCGGAAACACAGAAAACACACACTACGACGAAAGACCGATCAATTAGCGCAAACCCACGTACTCGCCGCTCGTGCCCCCCCTTGGACCGATCATCGGCCTGCTCAACCAATCAGCGCGCAGAAGGCAACTGGGTACAGAGAGGAAGTCAGTGCCTGAAAACAAAAAAAACAAAAAAAGGAAGCAGAAGACGAAGTCAGTCTGGGGACAAAACACACACAAAAAAAAAATAAAGAAGTCAGTGCCGCAGGTCTGGCCACAAAGCCGGCCCTCCTACTGTTATTCCGCCGCTATTCCGCCGCTAAGCCGCCGCTATTCCGCCGCTATTCATTGACCAATCAGCTGAAAAGAGAGAGGTATAGACACAAGAAGTCAGCGCCTCAGGCTGGGCCACAAAGTCAGCCCCTCTGTTGCTGTTCCGCCGCTATTCCCGCGCTCTTCCGCCGCTATTCCGTTGCTAATTCCGCAGCTCAGCCGCTCAGCCCTGCTCTCTCCTGTCAGCGGAAGACCGCTCTTTATACTACAGGGGGGATGATGGCAGACGAACCGAGCGGGGAGCGGAGCGGAGAGCCCCAGGGCAAGGCCCCCCCTACCAGGATCCCTCATTTCCTACCGTAGATCCCGAAGATCAACGGCCTGGAATGACGCATCTGGTCAAGTGGGACCTTGATCCCCGGGGGAGAGGTCCCACTCCCAGGGCAGAGATCTGGGGCCAAGTCCCACTAGCAGCGTTGAGTTTCCTCAATGCCGGAATCTGGACGTGTTTGTGGAGAGGCGCGGTTGAGGAAACTAAACGCAATTTCAGCACATCTCCACAAACACGTACAGATTCAGGCGACTTGGCACTTGGTGTCAATGGCTCTGTTCTCTTCTCCGTTCTGGGCCGTAGGCACTCGCCACATGGCGCAGAAACCGAAAAAAAAGAAGGGAATGCATTTGCCCACAGACGGCGGCAAAATACACTGCTTCTTTTCTCGTTTCGTGTGCCTTGCGGCGACAGCCAATAGAATCTTAGATTACACGATCGACGGTCATGAACACAGAGTCCCGGCAAGTGGGACCCTTCTTTTTGGGGGGCCGAAATTGCTTCTGTACCCCACTTAAAGATGGGAATACCCGCTATACCCAGTCCCAGTGCCAACTTGCACCTATACCCCGAAAACCGCCAGTGGAAATTATTTGCATGCCCAGGACTGAGCTGGACCCAGGTTGGTACCACAAAATTGCAGCTATAACCAACTAGCAGAATGCACAAATGATTATTTATTTATTATTTTTGGGAGAAGGAAAAATTTGTCTGCCGCCCCTGTATTTTCCATTAATTTGTGTCGCGCCCCTCCGACAGCCAATTTACCCTCTCGTGCCCCTCTGACCAGAAGTCAAATTTTTCCATAAAACCCTGGTGTCGTTTGGGTCTCATTCCATAAAACCCTGGTGTCGTTTGGGTCTCATATGTTTTCTTAGTACCCCTACCAGACCCACATCAAATTTGCATCATGCCCCTACCGGATAGCTGTTGGGAAAATTTCCGATATAACCCTCCCAGTACCATCGATCTTTTCAGTGTGCCCCGTCGCCATTGGAGGCACTCAGGGGAATATCCACCAGTCCTGGGAGAGAGCTACCGGGGCGTGGCAGAAATTTGTGAGTGTCCCCATGTTTCTGCCGTGCCCTTGCTTGTGTGCAACATCACCAGGACACTTTGGCTGGTTAATTTTAGTCTGTGCAGCCTCTGTCTCTTATACACATCTAGATGTGTATAAGAGACAGGTGTGTGTGTGTGTGCGTGTGTGTGTGTTTTGATCCGTGTGTGCGTGTGTGTTTTGATCCGGGTTTCTAGAGCTGGATTCAGCTTTCTAGAGCTTGATCGATCGATTCGGGTTTCTTTTTTGATCGATCGGTCACCCAGCCATGTGGTTGGCTTGTACACGAATGAATTGCAAATAAACAAACTGAAGTTCGAATGCTGATGTTATAAGAAGAGGGGGGAAACGATTGAGTAAGATGGGGCCAGTAAGCTTGAGGAAAACACGTAATGTCGTCGCCCTCTTTCTTTATGAGATAAAAAACAATAGTTTAAACATATGCAGTAGAGACTACATCCTGTTTTCCGCCAATCTTTTTTTTTCTCTTCCTCCTCCTCCTCCTCCTCCATCTTCTTCTACAATCCCTCTTTTTCTCCTTACTTTATCCCCTCCTACTCCTCCTTCTCCTCCTTCTCCTTCGTCTTCTACTGAGAAGATAGAAGTAGCGGCAGTGAGCGAGCTCGAGAGAGAGAGAGAGAGAGAGAGAGAGAGAGAGAGAGAGAGAGAGAGAGAGAGAAACGAGGTTGCCAAGAAAAGGGCGATGCCCTGCAGGGCTGCAAGAACAGAAGATCGAAGTGTCATCACCGCCCTAACATCTTTTGATAATGTTTGTAGGCTCACAACCAGGGATCCCTTCTTGCGAGCCCATAAACACGATCAAAAGACTGTGGGGCGGTGACTACGCTTCGATCATTTGTTCTTGCAGTCTTACTGACGACATCGGTGCTGAGATCGGAAGGAAACAACCACCAGATACAGGGCCTACCAGTTGCACTACTCGCCATCTGCCAATATTTAGAATGCATCTGGACAGAATAGTTGTCCAGATTCATTCAAAATGTTGGCGGATGGCGAGTGGTGCAACTAGGCCACATAAGGCAAGGCAGGCATAGGGACAAAAGAAGACAGGGAAAAAGAGGGCAACACCGAAACAATGGAAATCGGAGAGTAGTTGTGGAAAGCACGTGAAAAGGATGAAAACAAGTGAAATAATGTTATTCTACACGTCCAAATACCAAACCACGGAGAGAGCCCGTCTTGAAGGGAGGGAGGGGGACAGCAAGTGCTTATGGGAAAGGAAAATCTTCAAAATCGATAGCTTAAGAGAAAACAAGGCACAAAATAGGAGAGAGGGGCAGCAATGACAAAGGGAAGAAACCAAAAAGTGGGAAGAAGACCGGATAAGAGGGGCGAGAGAGAAACGAGGGGGAGAGAGGCAGAGGGGGGAGAGAGAGAGAAATTATGGAGAGATACAGACAGGGAAACAGAGCGATACAGAGAAAGATACATAGAGAGAGAGAGAGAGAGAGAGAGAGAGAGAGAGAGAGAGAGAGAGAGAGAGAGAGAGAGAGAGAGAGAGAGAGAGAGAGAGAGAGA